TATTCACCTTACTATGCCACCTAGTAAAGTTTTTGATTAGATTTTGACAACTTTTTGCCATCTTTTTGAACACTTCTGATGGCTTTCGTTTGAAACTGCATATCGAACTCTTACAGCTTCCTGCTGGTTTCAAATGTTCACAGATTGAGACTTTTGAAATGTTGAATTTCACAATTTAACATCTTTGCCCTCAACAGTCCCATGTTTTGATTGGCTGGTTCAAATAGAAGCCAGCAAAAAGTTGTCAAAAAAATTCAAACTTTAAGAAAAAACTTTCTCAAGTGGTAATGGTAGGATGGATGGCACAGTAAACCCAAAACGATTTGTTTTCACAAGTTAGGATGTCAACTAACCTTTTCTCTAGCAATCTCTATTTCCACGTTTGTCTCTTGACCTTTGGCATCCTGACAAAAAGAGTCAGTTCAGTTTATGACATGGCTCGCCATTCACAACTTCAGGCAATGTTAATGTATCTTTAGCAAAGCATAATGTGAAATTTCTTACCTCAGAACAGCAGGCTAAAAAATGCCTCACTATAAACTCATACACTCTTTTCTCATTACCCTGCCAATAAAATGGAGTGTACTGTACCTTTGAGTTACAGAATATATATTGTAGACAAGAGAAATAACATATCATAATATTATAATCTACATGCAGTTAACAAAAGATATCATGAATAATTTTACATCCATGACAAATACAGGCGTAAATACAATGCACAAAAAACTGCAGTGAAGAAGGTCACATTGTATGTGGATGATCAAAGTAAATGGCCATTTACATATTTATGCATGCATGCTTATATAACTATCTGGATATCAAGGCAAAGAATAAATCAGGTTGTGTTCAAAGAGGTGCTAATATTATAAAGTATTACCACACATTCTAGCTTAAAGAAGAACTGAGCAGCTAGAGAAAGAACAGAAATTCTTGACACTGCAATATTTAGTCTTTAAAATTAAGAGTATACCTGTAAACCACTTGTGTGCTTCGTGGGGTGGATAGGAGGATGGGCATTGTCTGTCTTGTTGCCATGACGAGGTTTAGGACCTCGTTCTAGTACTTGGGCAGCAAATTCTGCAACACAAAATATGGCTCAGGGGTAACAATAAGGAATAAAAGTGAATATAACAATTGAATAACAAGGGACTTTATCTGTCTTGCACAATCTTGAAAACTATTCTCTGGCATTCGTTTCATTTGTTTCATTGCTTTTTCCACAACAATTGTATACACATGTAGTCAAATTAATTTCATTGGTGCTTTTCATGGATCATACTTTTATTTTTTGAATTTACTGCCTGTCTGGAGTGTAAAGTTTTATCTAATTCAGCTCTAGAGCTGTAATTTTAAAGCTCTATTATATTATCTGTCTGTAATTTCCCCACCCCTCGACCGCCATTATTAAACTTCCATTTTCCTCAAGAACTAAGATATCTGAATTTCAGACAAATCGATTGACCATTATTTATGATCAGCCTACACGTAAAAAAAAAAAAACAATTATATATTATTTTCAATCATACCTCCCCAGTTTTCATCAACAGTTTGATTTTGAACGAGAGGTCGCAAGTCCAAAGACTTGGGAAACATGTTGGTTTCTGTGCGAGGATAACTGATGAACCTGACACAAAAGTACAAAGTAATATCCACATCTATTTCAGTTATCAGGACTCTCAAAACAATTCAATCTGCATTTTATATATTATTTAACTGCAAACTTTGTGCTGCTTTGCAGTATTAGAATCATAACCGCTTTATATCCTCACAAGGAAACCTGAGAGTTGCATGAGCACCAATACCACTTTGGGAAAATAATTTAGAATCAGTAATAAAAGACAAGTGTCAAGCACTTTCAAGCACAAAAGGCTGTTTTAAAGTACTCCTTAGGCCTTGAATTTTAGTTTTCAAATAGGCCACTTCCAAGATACCTTGTGCCTCTACTTCAAATTGAGTCCTCATGCAAACCCTTTCAAATGAAGATGAGTTTAATTTGCATGAAAATGAAACTCTAGGGGAAACACAGTTTTATATGAATGGTTTCGCAGGAAGACTTGTTTTGACAGAAAGGCAAAAGGCAAAAGGCAACTCGGAAATGGACAATTCATGGGCTTTCATTGAAGGTGAATATGAATCCTGACAATAAGGACTGATTGTGACTTTGATCATCACAAAGTTTCTGTTGAAAAAGAGCTCCGAAGAAAGAGGTAAAATAGCCATTGATATCATCACTACCTACCCTTGATTGTAGAGTTTTTCAGCTATCTTCATTGTCTCCTTGGCATTTATTTTTAATTTCTTAGATGCCAGTTTTTCAAGTTCCTACAAATGCAAAAGTAATTTCACAAGTCAACTTATTTACATTGTTCCTGCCATTGCTACTGGATTTGTTTCAATTGGTTAATCCATTTCATAGTAATGCATTTTTTGAACAACAACATGTGAAAAGTTCTCAAAATTGAGCTGGTTTGTTCGCCATGAAATTTTACCTTTCGAAAAACTACTTACTGTTAGCANGTCAGAAGGAAAATATGAAGGTTTGTAATCCAGTTGCCTTTGGGACTACTTGCTTAAAATATACTATTACATGGTCTTGTCAAGTGTCCCATCCAAATTAAAAGTAAAATTCTTTATAAACAATAAATAGAAATAATTTTAAAAAAAACGTTTATGTTGCATAACCAAATTGCCTGTAATTTCATTAAAAGAAAGAATCGTGGGTTTGTTTTATTACATCTATTCGAATAAATTGTGTCTTTCATCCTCAAGTAATGTTCTTTTTCCTTTGAGATTACTGCTAGGCCTTTTAATTTGTGTCAGTCAAGGCAAAACCTAGTCGCAAATTTGCGACTACTCTCGTTTTTCTAGCCGCGAATAAGTAAAGTTAAGTCGCAAATGCGACTGTATTGGTCGCAATTTCGAGCCCTGACACATTACATTCCTGACATTTACTAGGCCCTTGGCAATCCCAAGTGACCTTTCCACGGCTCTTTTAAAGCACTCATTTGCATTTGTAGCCATTTATGCTGAAGAAGGTTATAGTATTTTAACCGAAACGTCCACACAAAAAGTTTTTTAGTCAGTGACCACAAATTTAAATTCTTATTTTTAAACCCCACTATTTTGAAATTTACCTATTCGAAGGTCAAGCTCCATTCTAACATCTACTGCTTGTGACTGTAGTACATCAGGTTGAACTAAATTGTGGACAGCTCTTGACACAGATCTGAAATAACAAAAAATCATAGGTAGAGCAAACAAAAAAGTCAACTTTCAAACTGATTAGCAATCGAGACAAGAAGTACTGTACAGAGCTGTATACACAGTGTTCAAAAAAATAATGCAGGCAAAAGTGTTTCATCCTTCTCTGTATAGTGATGTCTTGTATGTGCATCAGAGATGACAAGGCCTTAGGTTAATGGCAAAAAGATTAAGAAACTAAAGAAATAAATTTCTCACAACCCTGTCACACCCTTTTTTTCTTTAAACTAAATTAATTGAAGATTGTTTCACTTACTGAGGAGTGATTTCAGAAAACTTTGCACGGTAAAGCTGGATATTAGGACAAACTGAAGGACAGGAATAGAAAGGAAAATTAGGACCTATATATCACAAGGAAATGAAGGCATTCACTGTTGTTAAGTTAATAATAAACATTTAAATGTAATTACTTGGTGAAATTAATGTTAAGAATTCATCTGGAGAATCACAGCTTGCGATTGGATGTTTTAAACCAGAACAGTTAGTTTCACTTAACGTTTAAGTAATAAACTAAAGAAAAATAGCTAAGATTACATACTACTTTGACAAACTTCGATGACTTCAAATCCAATGTTTTCTCCTTCTCTGTCACAATCAGTCCAGATTATCAGCACTTGACAACCACGCACCTCTCGCTCTAAAGTCCTCTGAAAAAATGATGTAAATGTAACTCCACCTTTTACCGTACTGCTCAAAAGTAATTTACCACTCTCTCATAAGACAAGATTGAGATGACACTCTCACCTAGATAGAACAGACTCTCATAGTGAGAGACCAGACTCTCATGTCACAAGACAAGACACTTGTCTCACAAGAGCTAAATAATAAACTGCAAGTATGAATGCTTGAAGTTCTAATGAGGTTTTAACAGCCTGTTATAAAGCAATCATGCAGCAACAATGTAGCAAACCTTTGTGCACTGATGAAGCTTCATTTGAGAGCACCTGCCATATTCTGTTTTTTACCAAGTTAATGCAAGAAATTTTCAAATGTATAAAGCTNCACTCTCACCTAGATAGAACAGACTCTCGTAGTGAGAGACGAGACACTCATGTCACAAGACAAGACACTTGTCTCACAAGAGCTAAATAATAAACTGCAAGTATGAATGCTTGAAGTTCTCATGAGGTTTTAACAGCCTGTTATAAAGCAATCATGCAGCAACAATGTAGCAAACTTTTGTGCACTCTGATGAAGCTTCATTTGAGAGCACCTGCCATATTCTGTTTTTTACCAAGTTAATGTAGGAAATTTTCAAATGTATAAAGCTTGAAAATTGCATCCAAGGATATGCTGCAAAATTGCCATACTTTATTGCTACACTGAATCTCTATTTAATCTTGAGACTAAATTACATCAAAGGGAAATGTGGCAGGAGTAAAGGAAGGTTACAGCTTTATTTAATCCTTTGTGTTAAATTAGTTACTAGAATGCCTTATTTCTTACTTTAATTGGAAGATAGTTTTCTCCAACATATTTTGTAACAGGAGCACTTAACAGGGCTACAGGAGCACAGCTGTACCTGGAAAAAAAATTAAAGATGAGTTTGAGAATGTCAGTTACATATGAGAAAATGTCATCTTCAGTCAGCAAATATTGAAATAAAATTCCCCTTGCTAAAAATATCTGTACAACCATGTACACCATCACACCTTGAACTAATATTTACTACTCAATGACTATCCAAAAAAAGGTAACTATAATGACTTTATCACCTGTAAAGACTAAATTGCTGGTTTTTGTCTCTGTTAAGATCTTACCATTTTTGGTGACTGGCTGTGAAATCTAAAGTCATCATATGTCCAGACAAAGATGTCATCACCATTTTGGCATTCTGTCATTAATTTAGTAAATGAAAGAATAACAATTAGCAACAGCAACATGAACTTACCATGCGCAATTCAAGATTTTCTCCTTTCTACATGTAGGCAGTATTGAAAACATGGTGGACAGGAAAAAGTCTTTGAAGACTGCTGCATTAGTCTCAGCAAAATCCATTTAAGTTTGAACCCGACATGATGCCAGTTAAATAAGTGTTCAGATCTAACACACTGTTTAAAACTATTGAACCTTCAAGCTGTCATTAAGGGACATAACCCTTTACAGCTGTTATGAATGAGTATCCTCGAAGGGCCCTTAATGTTAGAGATGAACTTGATTGTTGTTGATACAATTTACCCACAAAGTACTAAGTTTGTTAGCAAAGTGAAGTTCAAGGCAACAGGTAAAATAAATAACAATAAGTAACCTTTATTTAACCTTGGCAGTGTTTATAGCATAAAGACTAGTGGGGTCAAGCAAACAACTAAAACAAATAATCCAAATTGAACATAACATTGTTAAGAATCCCAACTGGCCAGAGGCAAACTAGTTGGTTATTTCAAGCGTGGCCAAGGATTTGAACTCGGGGCTACCATGAAACAAATACAGGTAGTGGTCAGAGCAGGACTCACACCCAGGACCACTGGTTTGCGAGTCCAACATGCTGACCATTCACCACTCTGAAAAACTTAACAACACACTGTGCATGTACCATGAATCCAGTCAAGACAAAAGCAACACACTTAAATGTATATACTCACACTTCCCAAAATGTTGTAATCAAATTCATAAATCTTGTTGAACTTTGAGAATCCTTCCCTCTGTCAACAGGAAGTATAGAAAGTACATGTAAACTAGTGAACTCACAAATTCTCAGAATTTAATTATCATTATATCAAAGAAAATATTACTGTTTGCACACCATTTAATGGTGTGCAATCAGTAATAGCAATCAATGTTGAATGTTTGGGAATGAAGGGGTTGATCCATGCAGGTGCAGCACCACAAATCTTAAAATATTATGTGCATTTAGTAGATNTACAGTATTTTCTAGTAGATTCATACTAGAAATTTTGTCTTTGTTCCATAACAGTCTAATGCAAATGTTTTCACCAGAAAAAATTCACTACTCCAGCGCTAGCCACACAAGTCTAAAACATGCAATCTCCCCATCCTCATAGCTTTGCACTTAGGCCCCATTTATATGGTCTCGGTTAACCGAGACAACCCTCCCAGGCAATGTTTTCACATATAAACGCTCGATAAAGTTGCCTCAGGGGGAAGGTTGTCTCGGGTACCCGAGACCATATAACTGGGGCCTTATTAGAGCGTAACTACATTTTTCCAGGCCTTACCCGCAAACATTGTCCTCGAGACATAATTCTAGACAGTTCCTTTGCGGCATCATTTTTCTCAGCGACATTCAAGATACGTAATGGTCGCATGGCTATTACACTCTTCGAAAGCTTTCTCGAGCTCCCGAATAAAGCAAGAAGTTTAGCATTTGAAGATGCAGAGAAGCGGTGCCATAGATTCAAATGGACTGGGAATGTCATTTGAGCTTAGTAGAAACCGAAGAGCCATAGCTTGAACGTTTTCAGGCTTCTCGGTAATGTGTTTTAAGTTACAACGAACTTGGAAAATCCTCTCGAGAAGATCTCTTTCAACTAAAATTGTATTGATATTTTCCTCTCAGATCGCCCGCCATCTTTCAAACTAACACCTTTTGCAATGTACCATGGGAATATTCGACACACTCCCAGAGGACTATGGGATTTATTGATCCAAGATGGCGTCGGAAAGTGGAGGGAAAAATCATTATCTCTGTTGCACAGTGCAAGGACTCTGTTTCCCTTCAAAAAATGGGTCATCGATCTTTATCTCTGAAAGGTAGACACAACTGAGAGGCAGAAAGTAAGTCCAGCCTCGTCGAAGCATTCAGCCTTGATGCTGTCTACGTCAAGATCGCAGAAGCAAAATTTTTCTGAAAAGAAGAATGACAAATTAATGAAATCAAAATCTGCGTCACCAACTCTCAGAAAGCCCACTAAGGAACAATCACAGGAGAAACGAATCCAGTCTTCAACGAATGAAAGGGAGTCAGGGAAGTTAAGTGTGCAGGAGATTGTGAGTATTTCTTGTACGGTGTTNATCAGGGCTCAAAAAAGTACTATCCAGTCATCCCACACAAATAGACTTTACTGCCAGGCAAGAGACTTTTCATTCTCACTTGCCAGATGGGCAAGGCCCCAGGTAAGTTGTAAACTGAGGTTAAAAGAAAGGAAACTAAAACTTGCCCAGGGGAAGCAAAATTTTTTTTCCAAGCCCTGTAAATATACCATATGAATAACTACACTCTTTTTGTCCACTTTATTCTAATGTGCAGTTCCCAAAACTGAAAATCCTTGACCTGGGATGCAACAAAATCAAGTGTGTCTCATCTAGTGATTTGGAGAAGAATTGTGTAAGTAAATCTTGTTCATAATCAGTGACAGGAATAGAACAGGGAAGGTCCTCTTGGTAAGTGAAAAATGTTCAACCAGCAGGCCGAAATGCCTTTTGGTACACACGTTTTACCTGCTTTGCATCAGCCACAGGTACTAATTACACTGTACTTCAAGTTTTGATTGGTTCACTGTATTGTCTGTGTTCTTTGTGATTGGCTAGAGTGATAACTTTGGTTTTGGTTAAATGACACGCCATTGAAAACCACTTTATACATGTACGTGTAATGAAATTAGTAACTATTAAATTGTTATGTGGCAGTGTACCTAAGAATATTTCTTGTGCTGTAGGATCTTCGTGAACTGAAACTTTACGCAAATGAAATTACAGAGATCAGTGGTTTAGATCGGTAAGCCAGTATAATTTAATNGACAAATTATGTGTCTTGCTGTTTCTGGTGTGAAAAGTGATGGTAAAGTATGTTTCTGCAAAAGACTGTCAGAAATCAGTCTTCTCAATCCCACAAATGGCCCTCTGACTTATTTCTCCCCACGAGGAAAAGACCTTTCAATCTTCATCTTCCTTGTGAGTTTGTAATATTACTGTGCATATAGTTACTGATACTTTCTGCAAGCTATTATTCCAACCACACCATTGAAGCTTGAGTTAAATTCCTTCTCACCTGTTCTCTAGCACACTTCGCTAATACAAACTGCAAACATGCACCAGATTAAAACAGAAATTAGATAAATGGTATATTCAAGTTTTACATGTAATTCTTGGTATTGCTGAATCAAGTTGCAGTAGATGATCAGAATTTTTTTTCTGTTGTTTACAGGCCTTGAATGGTCTTCCTGCGCTTGAGGAGCTTGACTTATCAAACAATAAAATCAGCAAAATTGCTGACCTAGGCAGGTGCCGAAAGGTAACTAATAAAAACAGACTGTCATATTTTTGTTTTTCTTTGCACTCTGCAGTAAAGACTTTACACAAATAAGAGTAATTATTCACTGGCTGAGTGAAACGAAATACGGTTGGACCCAGAACTGGGTCATTTCGAATTCCCTGTTATTTCGAACTCAAAACCACTTCCCCTGGATTTACACTCCAGTCAGCAGGGTTCAACTGTAAGTGAAAAATGTTTTCCTCACACACTGCTGGGCCCTGGGTATAGGTCATGTGACCTGTTGGGTGGGCATTTGTTTCGGTTGTGTCTGCCATTGCCGACTTCCCACCCACCCACTACAAATTATGCCAGTATAATGTACAAGCCTTGAACTTTTTTCATTATTTTCAGTCTTAAGCGTAACACTATTTGTATTAGCTTTGATTTTGCAATAAAGGTCAGGCAGCAGCAGTCCGCTTGACATGGCTACCAGTGGTGTGTGAGAACAAGCCATTTTTGACATAATCTATATTAACAGGGTTTTGATATATAATTATTTCAGATCCAAGAACTGGATATCTCCAGAAATCAAATCTCAGACTTATCTGGTTTGAAGGGTCTTCCTAGCCTTACAGTAAGTATCAGAATGGAAGTTTGCAATGTAAAAAATATTCATTGCTCACAAGATATTTTGTAACCTTCATTTTATGCTTTCATTGGTAGGTTTTAAGAGTGGAAAATAATAAAATAGCAACCCTTGAGTCCTTGGGAAAGTTAAGGTAAGAAAAATGTTCTCATAAATATAGAACGGAAGTCATATGTTCAGTGTCATTATGACAAGTCTGTCATAACAGAACCCTGAATGGTTAAGGGAAAATTTTGGTTTTTGCTGATCATGAACAAACATGTATTTAGTGTTAAATTAAAACAATGCATTGATTGAAGCAGGACTTGCAAGTCACACTATGACCACTATGACCTTTGTTTCCAAGACCTACTAAGATTTGTTGTGATTCAACAGGAATCTACAAGAACTTTATCTATCAAGTAACAGAATATCAGAAGTAAAGGTATGCTTTGGCTAAAAGTTAATGAAATGAAAGAAAACTACGGCATTTTCAAGTCATGTTGACCCCATTATTAAGTAGAGAAAAGAAAATGATGGTTGGCATAATAGGTGCACGATCGCACGGGTGTCTTAGTACAGGTGTCCAATATTACAACTTTTTTAGGTTAAAAGTGGATATGGTTGACTATACCCTCGCCAGTCACGCATCAAGTACGGGCACTTTAATGGCTTCCTTCTTCATGTTTCCTACATTTTTTGAAACTAATGGAAAGTGCTTCTCTCAACTTTCTTCACTTAGAACAAGAAGTTCTAAGAAATTTTTATTTCAAAATTTTTTATTTGCCCTTAATTAATCAACTATTAATTAGTTGTTGGTCCTCAGCACAACTTAGAGAGTTATTGTGCTTTTAATTTCAAATAAGCCTTGGCTGTGCACTCGTCCAATTTTGAACTTGCTCACCTGTTTATTCTCTGAATTGTAGAATAGGAGGTCCAATCGCTATTACTTGTTGCCTGCTTTGCCAGCCCTCTTCTGCCATCCTACTTTACATGAATATGCTTTGAAAACACAAATTTAATTCTCTGTAAATATTTAAGTTCATTACCAAATTTAGCAATGAACATGATTTTATGTTGTTTGTGTTGCAGTCCTTTGCCAAACAGTTTCCTTCACTAGAAATCCTGGATTTGTCAAACAACCTCATAGCCGCAGTGGAAGAAATGGTGATTTTTTTTATTGAAAGAGTCGACTGATCTGCGTTACATTTTACACAATTTATTCATTTGGATATATAACTTTTGAAATAACATTGTCTTTTTGTCACTCTTCAGTTTGTGCTGTCAAGTATTTCTTCCCTTGTAGAACTGACCGTAGCAGGTGAGACTACAGAAAATCGTGATATATGAACCTATCTATCCTGCAGTACTCGCCAGTAATTTCCAACAATATTAGCTTATATTTACTTGTTTTTCATTCAGGAAATCCTTGTGAATCGGCAGACACGTTCGGGTGAGTCATAACTGTTGTTCAGTGAATCAGCTTGTTCATGTTAGACTCTCAGGAAGAGACTTGCCGAGTCTACTTTTAAACCAAAAAAATGTAAAAATATTACACCTTGACCACCATCTCTCAGATATGGAAAATGTCTGTTTTTCAAATTCCCGCTTCCTCCTGCTTTTAGTAAGTTATTTAGGAGTATTCGTCTTCAAATTTTTTCTGAAAGAAGGACCTTGCAAACTGTTTGTGGATATTTGTAATGAATCACTAAATTTTCAGACATAGAATTAAGTCAGAAATGGAGAATTGTCGATAAAGAGAATTCATTTGTTGAGGTTACAACTAAAAAGTTAGCTACATAATTACATTTCAAGTCGCCTTTTAAGGTGTCCTCTTGTACTTTGTAATGTTCTCTTTTTATACACCGGTAGCTGCCATCGCCAGATATTTCAGACACTAACGTCGCTGGAATTTCTTGATAAAGTAAGTTGTCAGTTATTTTTAGCAGTTTAATTTCCATTATCACCACCCTTTTGTCGATTATTCGCGAATTGCGATATTGTGACATACAGGCCCCATCCACGCCACGCCAGAAAAATTTGAAAACGAGGTTTCATTCTGAAAACGCATCAAATGTTTTCCGTCCACACTGCGCCGAAGATATTTACTGAAAACGCAGCAATCACCGGTCATTTTGGATTTGAGTTTGAGAAAACCTCGAACGGGGAAATCACGTGATTATCGTGATTATCGTGATTATCGTGATTATCGTGATTATCGTGATTATCGTTTTCAAAATGTTTTCCGTCCACATTAAAACGCAAAGCCGACGTTTTCAAATTCATTCGGTTTGAAGAGCGTTTTCGAAAAGCTCCGATTCCGTGACGGATTAGTGTGGACGATGGGCCTAAAGTAGAAATAAAGCTGCGTTTTCAAATTTCTCCATTGAATTGTCGACGGGGCCATAGAGATACAGATGTTTCAGTTCGTGCGACTATCAAATTAAAAACCAAAGCATTGTAACCTTAAAGTCGCAACAAAGGTTTGTACGAGGTACAAAATTTCAAGCTTTCGTTTTCGGGACATTTTGGAATAAATTCACAAACACAACTGAAGATTGTATAAGGTACTTTCCATTCGACCAAAAATCCTGTTTTCTAAACTGTCTTCGGGAAATACGCTTTCCATTCACACAACTCTTCTCAGATTTCCTTATGCCTGAAATCATTCATACAGATGTCAAAATGCCAGGGGATTTGTAACTTGATGTAAGTTGACTGTCAGAATTCCACTACATTCCTTAATTTTCGTTAGTTCTGGTTTTAGAAGACGCCCAGTTCTCAAATTTTTCACGCCATTTTTTTTAACAAGATGCATTGATAGCCTGGGAGAAACTATTTAATGAAATCCAACGTAAAAGCAAAAAATTCCGTTATTAACTCTTCCCCCTTGTTTTTCTGAATTTTCATGGAACTTTTTTTTTTCTTCATTGATTCAGGTGTCACGCAAGAGACCTAGCACAGGTCAGTCACGCGCGCCACCTCCAATGAGACCGATGTCTGCATCGCAAGGTATTTACTTCACAGAAAGAAAGAAGTTTCGTGTTCGCTTTTTGTAATTTAGTTTCCTTTGAGTAAGTAGAGTTTCTTCGTCTCTCTTAATTTAACACAATCATGGGTTACTCTGTTTTCTCACAGTTTTGAGTGCAAAACAAGTCGAGGAGCAGATAAAAGCAACAGAACTTGAGCAAACTTCTTTTGAGGCGTCTATCGCTTCACGGTGAGTAAAAGCGCTGCTCTCTAAGCCAAACACGTTTTACGTTTTACTAAAGTATTTAAAAATAACACGACAGCAACAAATTTTGACTCGTTGGCTTTAAAGTGACGAAGTTAACGCCAATGTTGTGAAACTGACAGTTGACTCCCGACAAGAGACCATGATCATTTTCTCTTGCTCCCGATAACTCGAACCCCCCGCTAACTGGAAGTAATTTTCATTTCCCTTCAGGCCATTTTCTATATAATTTTACCCTCGATAACTCATACTCCCGATAACTCGAACCTTTTACTATTTCCCCTGAAGGTTCGAGTTATCGGGAGTCCACTGTACTTGTTTATGGAAAGAGCGCACCATGGTAGAAATGTCTGTGGATCTATTATTACTACGGAAATTCCCTCTCAGTTACTTCGATTTGTAAGTTTCTTCGCCGAAATATCTAGAAGCGCTCATTAAATATTTCGTGCGCTCCAATAGTCCCAGTGTTTATCTTAGTCCTTGAAAATAGTTCTCTTTCAACTGTATTCCTTAGGTTTAGTATGGTTAAGGATCTATTTGATTCCCTGCCTATGGAATCAACCACCGACTTACGTCACCCACAGTTAACAGGTATGATAATACGTAATACTATACAGCTCTAAATTGGATCAGCCTTGTAATTCAGCTGTTTTGGTGACTATAAAGACCTAACGCCTGCTCCCCTGGGTAGAGAGACTGTGGGAAAAAACTGTCTGTCTCCAAGAGAACACACCGCAATGACCCTGGAGAGGCGCTCTGCCCAGTCTATAGTCCAATCTGCGAACTCTGTCTTCTCCACTCTATTTAGGGTTGAACCCAGGCGCTAAAGGCGAATCTTTGTTTACACTTTTTGCCTCATTAGC